ATTGGTTATTTTATATATTAGTAGATAGGGGAGCTTCTATTTTAGAGTTTCCGGTTCTCAAAAATCCTGGGATAAAGGCAATTTTCAAGCTTTACTTGCACAACTCTGTCAATCTGCTATCTCACCTTTCTATTTTAAGCACTACTTTTTTCCTCCTCTATTAAAGTTGCTCTCTACTAGCCTTTTCCACCTATCATGTTGTTGTAATTGGAGAGTTCTTCATGTAACAAATTGACAGGTTAGAACAGATGCATCCCAATACTAACAGGAGAAAGCAGGGCTGGTAGCATCTGCAGTTCTGTTAGGCCTTGCCAGCTTTCTGTTAGAAAAATAGTGTCATAGGTGCCAACCCTACACATACTGCAAAAGAGCTTGTGTTGTGCATGATTATTAGACAGGTGCTCCATCAGTTGTGTATAGCTGCCTTTGTTCATTATCAGATGATAGTTAAGAATGTCATAGGCAGCTGTTCAAATGGATTATATGAACCTTCCGTATTAAGACTTTCTAGTATTTTGTTTGTACTTTTATCTCAGTTGTGCTTTATCAATATCCTACGATATTGCTTTGTTTATTTCTTTTTAAGCAACAGACCACGCAGTTCCAGGTTCAGTACAATAACTGGGAAACCCAGTCAGGAGTACTTTCCACATGCGGCAAATGTTATCAGTGCAATGACTATATGGACATATTCTATTGTTTTCCTAGAAACAATACGGAAGTGGTTTGCCACTGCTTTCTTCTGGTCTGTAATTTCTTTTGAAAATCTTATGTTAGATTTTCAAAGTCCTCTAAAGGTCTAATATCCAAAACATACAATGTCCTGACAGAAGTTGTTGGAGGGGGATCAATAACTCTTAAAGAAATACAGGAATTGGATTTAAGACATAATATCTCTGATACACAATGGGCTACACTTTGGAAGAACCCAACATTATGATCAATATCTGCAAGGAGCAGGGAAATTCACTTAAAAGTATTAATGGGTGGTATCGTGCCCCCTTAAAGTAACTAAAATTACTTGGAAAGGCCCATATAAATGTTGGAAGTGTGGTGAAACAAAGGGCACCTATATGCATATATAATGGTCCTGTGAGGTTGTACAAAGATTCTGGTGAGAAATTATTAGAGAGATTAATAGTATGGATATAGGAAAATTCAGTTACAGTTCTGAGATATGTTTACTGACATTATTCAGTGACACAACTCAAAGAACTGAAAATAAGGTAACTATTCAATTCATGATGACTGCAGCAAGGCTAGCTATAGCACGATATTGGAAGAGCATACTGTAGAAGCTCCCACCCTAGATCTCTAGTATTAAAAATTAAGAAAAATTGTTGCAGTGGAAAAATTGACATATAAAAGATGGGAGGATTGAAATATACTTCTGATTTAATTTGTGAAAAAGTAATCCTTTCTGCACAGCAATAATAGGCCAAATTCCTCTTTATTCCAGTATATACAAAAGTTGCTACTGGAAACTTGACTTTTTAGATCTTTTTAATATGTCTGCTGACTTATAAATCAATAAAGTCAAAACAGCTTTTTAAAAAGAAATTACTGAACTGTTTCAGATGACAATTCTCATTTTGCTTCTCTAGATGAGAACAGAGACTTGTGAGAGCTGGCTATTACTAACATTCCTTTCTTGGGAAAAAGGAGTATGACTTGCATGGCTTTGCTTCTATGTTCCTACAATCTTATGCCAGGTAGTAACCCTGAGAAGTCTGGGTGATTTTAATTAAAAAATATTGTTTTATTCAAGAACTAAGAGTGAATTATTTGCTGAAAAATTACTTTTGTCAAGTGGGTAATTTTAAAAAGCCTGATACGCATTAACCCTTCCACTGCTATTTCTGAGATTATTTTTTAAACATTTATTCCATATTTCAACACCATATTATAATATTTATTTTTTCCTTTTTATGTTGTTATAAATCTTGATACATTGTTTCAATACAGTAATGTGTATACAATATCAATTGAAGATTATTGACGTTCTATTATTTAGATAGAGTACTGAAGATAAGAGAAAAAATATTCTATGAATATTAATTACAATTTAGGAGACAACATTACAAGCATAAAATTATTTGACTTTTCATCCAAAGTTGAGTATAATATTAAAAAAAATCCGCTGCGAATTGCATCAGTGTTCTGTGAGGTTTTGATCTTAAACTAATTGCTTAGAATTAAAATTTCCATTATATTGTTACTTAGTATGTGTATGTATGTGTGTGTATGTGTGTATACACACACACATTTATAAATATACATATATACATATACACATATGCGCTCTGGAAAATGCTCTAATGCTGGGAAAGGTGGAAGGCAAGACAAGAAAAGGACGACCGGAAGCAAGGTAGATTGACTCAGTTACAGTGGTAATGAATGAACTATTAGGAGACCTGAAAGAACAGGTTAGGGATAAATCGTCATGGAAAAAATCTATCTACATGGTCTCTCGAAATCTCTTTCTCTCCAATCTCTTTGCTCTGTGAGTGAGGGGGAAGCAAGCAATTTCTGTAAGCAATCCCTCCTTTGCCTCCTTTGGATGGAGATTTCAAGAGAGTAATCTTCTACACATCAAAAGCAATGCGATTGTGCTGGTAGCGGAAAGGATCAGGCAAAGGAGAAATTGCCTACAGAAATCGCTTGCTTCCTGCCCCACCACCACCCCTAGAGTGGAGAGATTGGAGACAAAGGCATTTCAAGAGAGTAAGCTATTTGCCTTGCATGCTCGTGGCTCCCAGCCCTGGATTATGGTGGGATTGCATTGCTTTTGATATGTACAAGACAGCAAGCAGGCACTTGAGCATTCCAAAGGGCAGGGGAATGGTCAGAAGGCAAACAAAAGCCGAAGGTGTGAAACTGAGTAGTGTTGCCTCTTTCCAGCCAGAAAGCAGTCGTGGTGAAAGCAAAGTTGCTGGTCCCAGTTAGGGTCATTAAGAGAGGACCACCTGTAAAGATGTTTTAGCTGTATCAGCCTAACAGAACAGGAAACAGAATAAATACATCACAATATTAAGGGCCACTTAGAGTCTCAGGGCTACATGTAAGTTTCTCTCTCTCTCTCTTTTCTATATAGATATATATGGAAAAGCGTCTTCTAGTCAATACTGCTGAAAATTAGCAGCACTTCCTCTACCTTTGGAGCCATTCTGTGTGTACCTGGTGCTGTTGATCAAATAATTTACTAGGCTATGAAGGTATTTTCATTTTGTGCAAGATTATGTAAAAGCATTCAGAGATATAATTACTTGTAACTTGTAGAAGGCTTGAGAATATAATAAGTGCCATATATATTCACAGAAGCCTAACAAAACAGGCAAGAGCCTTCAAGAAATAAGCTAAACAAAAATAATCAATGCTGATATATAATAAGTCTATTATATGTCTTTCAGATATTTTCATAAGTTTCAAGATAAGTTCCATATTTGTCTAGTCACTTTCTGGACATAATTTTAGTCTTAAACACACAATCTGTTCTAAAAAAATCATTTACAGATGCCTTTTCCAGAGACTTTCAAACATAAGTAATCCATTCATGCAGGCAAGTGTGCAATACCTCACAAAGTTGTTGTGGGGAAAATAGGAGGCAGGAGTAATAGATTTGTTCACCTAATACTTGAATTATATATATCTTTATAACTTTATATCTATACCTCTATAGATATACATAGTTATCTATCAGTCAAAAAGGTGGGATAAAAATATAATAATAATAACAACAACAACAACAACAACAACAACATACTCTATCAGAATTAGATTTATTTCTGGGAAAATATGCATAGATATTCACTTTGTATTTAACAGTTGTTGCCCTTTCTTTAAAGAGTCATACTAATTCCATTAAAGAACAGAAGTTCTTTGAGCTAAACATATACAACTTATTTCTTCCACACTTAAAAAAAAAAGCACAAAGCAAATCAGGATATCTTTAGTCTTTTGGAATTGTAACTCATCTGTGGAACTAATTTGGGGTTTGGGGGAGCATCTTCTGGTGGTGGTTAATTATTCTTTATTTTATTTCACAATAATTTTAAGAAGTTCACTTTAACTTAAAACAATCTTGGGGAGGAAATTAAGTGACTGTGCACTCAAGATCACACATGAGTTTCATGACTGACCACAGACCTGAACAGAACTTTCCTCATTCTGGGCTGATTACAACATTTCAGAAATTTTTAAAACAGTGACATAAATACTAGAGACACACTACACTTGAACTTAGCCAAAAAGCCGAGGAGATGTGGCATAAATACAGGCATGGTAGCCACTTGGGACTTGCAATCTCAGCTCTTCCCAGGTCTTTAGTCTTTACAAAAAAAACCAAACTTGGTCATGATCTGTTACAGAAGTGGTGTGTCCTAGGTATTTGTCTAGAGCAGCTTGATAAATGGGGGCAATGTTGCAGCCAGCCTCAGTGCTTACCAGATATGGTGATCACTAGATGGCAGTAAAGAGATACAACTTTTTGCTGCTGTCTAGTGATCATCTGTATTTTTGCAGCTCAGATCTGATAGCCTGATGTGGTGTAACCTACTAGTGCTAATCTATTCCCAAGATGCTGCTGCTGCTGCCACCAAACCCCCCGCCCCCCCCGCCGGCCACAAAAGAAGTTTGTGTGTGCAAGTTCTGAGCATCAGAATAAGACTATTTCCTCAAATTCGGCCACAAGCGCTTTAACCAATAACTAATATTGGAATAGGGAGTTCCTCTGAAAAGTGTGTCTTGGGGCCTAGAAACCTCTATTCATGCTCCTGGTTTATGATGATATTTACTGAGATTCAACAGCTTCCAGCTCAACTGCTTTCATTCAAATATTTTTCCCACAGTTCTCCAAGTAGAACAAACAAGACTACTTACCTATTTTTTTACAATAAGCAGCCAGAACCATTCCTCATCTTATGAGTTATTTTTTTAAAACAAGGGTGTGTTTCCCTCTTCCTTCTATAGCTACAAAACAGAGAAATCTGAAAACAATGTACCTTTCAGTTTCTGGCCTCTTCTCCAGACTGTTTCTGTCTTTACCCTTCTCCATGTCCTGTAGAAGAGTTATCTGGATAGGAGTGTTTCGTCCCTCACTACTTGTACTGCTCCTGTGCTGTGATGTCCTGAAATCAGACTGGGAATTGCGTTTCATGGCTTGGAGCTGAGCTAATGGCACAATGTCACAACCCTGTGGCCTGTGCCACACAGTCTGCTGAGTGATGGCATTGTAATAATAGAAACGATTGTTGTTTTGATCAAAGAGTTCCCACCACTGGTTCTCATCAGACTGACGGACTCTGAGGTTGGGTGGTGGATCCCAACCACATTCTCCAGTTGTCAAGTTGACATACATTCGTTCTCGAGAACGGGGTTCAATAATTTCCACCCAATCTGAGCTGAAATAACAAAGGAAATACATAGTTAGTTTCAATCAAAACCACAATGCTTTGTCATGACTACAGCAAAGGTTGCATGTGAGATCTGTGGCTACCTATTTATAAAGTCTGATGGATCCGTACCATTCTGGTGATTAACATATATTAAAAACTGTTTAGATTAAGCTTCTAAGATTAAAAATGCATGTTCTAAACTTGGGCAATAAACAAAAAAGTTTATTTACATCAACTTTCTATTATAATATTTGGTAAGATCCTAGTTCTATTCTATGAACTACAGAGTCGTAAACCACATGGAATGTAACAGAGTAAATTCCACTTTTTTTTCCTCCCCATATAATTTAGAAAATCTTCACCATGCAATCTTGTGAAGCCAGTTCAGAAAAGTTGTTTGCAAGGTAGAACTTCTGCCATGTGGCTATATTTAAAAAAGCAGCAATGCTACAATTTACATCTATATGTTGGCTACTCAACTCAAGAACATACCTGCAAAACAGAAAAAAAATTATCTCATGAACAGAGCTTTTTTACAACAAGAAATAACAATATAACACATTTGTACCCTTCAAATGCTTCAAAGGCTTTGTAATTTTCAAGTTCAAGTATCGAACATACGTTTTCTCTAATATAGACCCTCACCACTTAAATAGGATAAACTGCGTATTTATTGAGATGACAGAGAATTAGACAAGAGGTAGCAGTAAACTGTCCTAGCAAACTGGGAGAAGGTTCAGGAATTAATGCCCAAGAATCTTTAAATACAAAAGCATTATTCTCACAAATCTAAACAACTGAAGGTCCGCTTTAATCTGAATGCTATGGCCTTTTCATGGAAATTCTCAATACACTCACAAAGGGTATTTTACAGTATTAACCACCAAGCCACAGAAAAGTACACAAAATTCCCTTCTGAAGTTCTATAAACAAGCAGCTTTAAAACAAATCAAGTATTTGCTACAGAAGAACTGCATTTTCTGCCTCCAATAAACTTTTCACTTTACTTTTTTTTTTTTGCCTTCCAGTCAGTGTTGACTCCTGGCAAATGCCTGAACAAGTCCCTGCATTTACTATTATTAACTATTTTATTTTTATGCATTTCTCATCCTCAAAGAGCCCAATGAAGAGAACAAAAAAGTGTTAAGAATGATTCAACAAAACTATCATCAATAAAACCATAATAAAACATGACAGTAGAAGCAATTCTATTTTCCTAATACAGGTAGTCCTTGTTTAGCGACCACACTTGGGACTGGTAACTTGGTTGTTAAGTGAAGTGGTCACTAAGTGAAACCGCAACTGTACTTATGATCTTACTTCAGCTTTCCTTTGTTTTACAGACTTGCAAAGGACATAAATGCAAGGATTGGTCACAAAGTTAGTTTTTCATCACTGCTGTAACTTGAACAGTTGCTGTATGAGGCAGTTGCTAAACGACTATGGTATTCTCTTTTTTAAAAAGCTATATAGTTATAACTTGAGAATATCTATCTGCCTTTAACAACTCTCTGTCTAGAGCAACATTTTTAACCTCAGATTTGTAATATGTGATTTTAAAGTATAATTAGGCATAAAACTACATAATTAGACTTTTTGAGAGTTCAGGAAGAAAGTCTAAGATTCACATTTTCAATAGCATATATGGGTTTTGATTGGGCTCCTCTTAACTTGACGTCCTCCAAGGTGTCTATTTTGCCATGCCCACCAGTTGATTATATAAACTATATATTATTTGAATTTTGGAGCAGAAATATAAATATGATTTTGCTGGCACAATAACAAACCAAGATCTCAGCTTATGGCAAAGACTCATGTGTATTAAAACATGACGTTTTGTTATGGGATGGAATGCCAGGGCAATGAAAATGTAGGAAAGTTTCTTTTTTTTAAAAAGCAAAATATTAACTGGAGTGTTGCACACAGATATGTCTCACCCCATCCTATGATATTTATAACCTTAAATCTTTATCCAGGCACAGCATTCTTGAAAACAGCTTTCTATATTGCCCCTGCTCCACCCAGAGTTAAGAAACTTGTACATTATTTTCCTTTATTTAAAATGGAAAGCATGCATTCCTTTTCCTAAAACCAAATTATTTTATTGGACACATCATTTAAACAGAAGCACTGTCTGCAAGGTTGTAAGTAATGCAATGATTTACCTAACCCTCCTTAGTCTATTTGAAGCTTAGACACAAAGGAAACAATTTCAGTCTGCTCTAGGGGACCCTGGAGGCACTAGGTATTTTTGATCCCTAAAGTAAATTTATTTACTAGACTTTTAACTCATTCTGATCTGTAAGACAGTCTGAGACAACAGCAAGATCTGCATCACCAGTACGCCTTCCTTTGTTGAGAAGCATTCCTAGGCAGAAGGGTTTCCAACTGTCCTTGCCATGCACTTTGCCCAATTTAGGACCATCCCCCCAGAATCTAGCGGGAGTGTAATGTTTGAAGAGCATCTGTGTCCATTAAAAATAGGGGGAAGGCAGAGAATGAATGTTCAATTCTGGTTCAACATCAAGCTCTCTCCCCCCTGCCCCCCAGACCCAGTTCTGAGGATGCAGGCAGGGAAAGGATGAGTTTTGTAATACTCCTGCACTCTCACTTTGGGGTCCCATATCATTGTCCTGCCACTGAAGGATCTGCAAACAACTTGGGTGGGGTAGGAAGGCCAATTAGGAAGCTTAGGTTTCTGTGGGTACTGCAAAGGGTATTGAAAAAGATGGGATGCATACAATAGATATGTCTGCTGTTTCCCAAGAGCTGTCAGCATCTGGATGTTTCTTCCAGTGAATCAGATGTTCTATTTTGTTCCTTCTATGCATGGAATCCAAAAAAAATTCCACTTTCAATTCTTCTTCCTTCCAATTAAGACTGAATGGGATGTACTGTAAGACACATGTTTGTAAGGGGCATGGAGGGTGTTTCAAGAACCAGGAGGGAGCAGTGAGAGATGGGTTTGTAAGACACCAATGAGCATCTGTGTTGTTTTTCTGTAACTGACAACAGCTGACAACTACTTGTTCCAATTACATGGATTTGACTACTGAAGAAGCTGATGCAAAAGAAAGAGGGGATACAGAACAGCTTTTCATCAGCTGTCTGCCTCAGTTCTTCTAGTTGTCTGTCTATGGCAGCACTGAATTATTAACAATTATGTACCTCTCCAAGGTGTCTGGAATGCCTTGCTGAACTAGCTCATCTTACAGTTCATCACACAGGTCTTCTTTAAATTGGTCAAGTAAAGCCAGTTCATTCCAGCTAACATTTCTCAAGTAACATTGAGATATGTAGCTACAAATATCTGTACTTTGCATTTATCCTGGCACAATTTGTACATTTCACTGTCAACTGTTGCTCTTCTGGCAGAGTCAAAAAGGGCAGATCTCAGTTTAAGCATAAAATAGATTTAATTGTCCAGAACCAGGTTAATCGTGTCAATAACTGAAACTTCCATTTTGCAGCTCCATCTTTCAAGAGTCCAAGATTAAATCCCATCTCCTATATCTTCTGGGTGATTGACTGAACCAACTGGATAATCAGAGCAGATGCAGGCCCACCTGATTCTCATATTGAAGCAAGATACTGGCAACCTGTTCAGCAGTCAGCTGCATAGCAAGAAACTTGCTCACCATGACCAGGGGCCATGACTTTGAATCAAGGTTGTTTTTGTAGTAGAGGGAGTAGGGATTAGTCAGAATTAATGTCAGGTTTCTGATAGTAGCCTGAACTGGAAATTGTTAAACTCAGGAACAAATTCTGATCAGTAAGATTTTAAACTCAGGAACAAGTTCTGATTAGTAAGATTTATTAAGAAGAAGGTTAAAGTAACAACACAAAAATTCCAGTGAGAACTCCATTTTCAAACAGAATATTTATATATAGGCAAATTCGGATGGAAAGGTTCTAGATTTCTTTTCAGATAAAGGGGAAGAGCTTTCTTTTGGGAAGAAGGGCAGACTGCACCTGTTGATTGGCCACTACATTTCATATCAATCTGAAAGCCAACTCATACATGAAAGTACCTTCATACCTAACAATGTTCACCATTGCTGATTTAAAAAAAAACAACCTTTTCTTTCACTCTCCTAACCTACGGATTTCCCTTCTATAGCCCTAGCTGATCTGCAAATACATCGGACATCTTTACTTTTTAATTTCTAAAATCAAAAGAAAAGCCTTGTGTTCAGGAGAACTTTCCTTTCATTGGTATATTTTACTTTCCAGAAAGTTACCAATATGGAACAAACATGTTATCATGCAATGAATAAACCAGAAAAGAATATTTTTTTACTTCTTAAATGCTGTTAGTAATTTTATTATACATACATAAATACACATAAACTCCATCTTGGAGTGTGTGTCTTTATTTTTGAAAGTTTTACAAGCCAGGAGTCCTGGTTGGATAACATGCTTAACTAAGTTGTTAAGCATTGACTGAGCTGTATCCAAAAGGGAGGTATGCCTACCTGGATCTCAAGTATTGCATCAGCCTTGATGCAAAGGAGTGGTGCTTATCCAACGGGAGACTGATTACTAGAAACTCTGTTCCATAGGTGGCCAGATGTGAGGCATTATATGTGCTATCAGGCCAAAGGGACAAGCTAGGGAAGCTTCTGTTATTCTGTTTTCACATCCCTGCCCAAGTTGCTTGATCTCAAGGTGCCTAGGATGTTAGTGCTGACTGACTTCAATCTACTATCCTTGGGTGGTGGGATCTAAAATGGCTTAGGATTTCATGGCCACCATGAAAAGCATGGGCTTTTCTCAGGTTATCATGGGCCCAACTTGGGGTGGCGGGGGGGGGGGGGTCATACTACATCTAGTTTATACCTTGGAGCAGCTGATATATGATCTGGTGCTGGGAGATATAAGAACTAGTCCCTTGTCACTGACTTCCTGGTGACTATAGGGTTAACCAGTGTGACCAGGATTACTCTGTAATCTCCACAGAGGGACAGAATCAATTCAAACAATCCAGCCCAGGTGTCTTACCAATCTGAATGGACTCCAGGGCTGCTTCATGAGTTTCCCAGCAATCCAGAGTGTGATTCAGTTAAGAGCCTTGCTGACTTCTGGAAAATGGAGGTGACAAAGAGTCTTGACAAAACTGTCTCTGAGTGGCCTCTTTTGTGGAAGATTGTTGAAAAGTAACATGGTGGCAGTTACAAAGAGCTCTGGAAGAAACATATTATCTAAACCCTGTTCAGTGAGGATTCAGGGCCAGGCGGGGATGGAAACTGCACTGATCATTCTCATTAATGACCTTACTTCACATGTTTGTGTTATGCCTAGTATCTCCAACAGATTATGCTGTAACTGCTAATGCAGCATACAACAAGCAGCATGTACAAATGCTTATGTGTACTGATTTGCAGCATACATCTTTCCATCATTGTTCACTTGGAGGATTGAGAATTAAGTGGGGGACCCCTTTGCTTTACTCCCCCCCCCCCGCAAAAAGGCAGCAGAAGTGAACATTCACTTTTATATATTATTCTACAGTGGTTTTGCCCTTTCCTGAATGGCTGATTC